GATTGTGTACCTGCTTTCGGATTAGCCAGTGGGCCCCCTGTGGCACTGGAGGAAGACTACAAGAGCAATAGGAGTGTAACAATCTAGCACAAACAGCATCCATCTAAGTAAGGATGACTGGTCTGCAAGTGTGTGTGTGTGTGTTTGTTTCAGGAAGCTGTACGCAACGACAATTGTTGAGTTCAATCAGTGGCTTTCGCACTGGCTACAGTGGTTTGGAGTATCGTTAGTCTACAGTCTATAGTCTATGTGAACTGCTAGTCCTTGCAAGATGGGTTCCCACATCAAATAGACACCACGATCATCCCTTCCGCTCAGGTGGAGCTTAGTTGCCGGAGGTTTCTTCCCGAGCTGCTGCCAGTCCTGGCGCTGGCCTGCGCCTGATAACTTGAAGGGCCTCTGCTGCAGCATGAACTCTCGTTGCATTGTCGTGCTGTAGCGGTGAGATGCCTTTGGGGGGTCTAGACGGTGGGGGGCCAAAAGTGGTCACCGGCTTGGTCGAAGTGAAGACAAACCCCAACTAAATCAGGATTTTAGGCGGGTGGCGTGGTTGTGTGTGTGTGTGTGCGCGCGTGTGTGTGTGTGTGTTTTTGTTGTTGCGTGGCTGTGCAAGAAGCGGGCATGATGTTGCTGTTGCTGGCTTTGTGTCGCTTCGCTGCGGCAAATTCAAGTGTTGGTTGCTTAGGCTTTTGCGAGCATGGTTTCAGGTTCACCACCTTTGATGGGCTTTGGTTCTGGCACTTTATTTGGTCTGTGATGCTTCAAACAAGTCCTGCAGCTTTCGTTTTCCCCTAGACGCTCACTTCTGCGGCCGAAATTCATCAGGCGAGAGGTAGTCCCTCGTCTCTTGAAACCGAGGTCCGGACGCTGTCAGCACGCACCCAGTACGAGAGTGAGCTGGTTCCGACGCCTTTCGAGGCTTTGTGAAGAGGGTTCTCACTGAGAGTTCTTTGACCTCAAAGCCGCATGCCAGTGGAAGCTGCATGCTTTCCACAACGAGATCGGACGGGTCTTCCAGAGCCCCGGGCGCACCAGGCTTGCAGAGCATACCCGGCATACCTTCGAGCTTCCCGAGAAAACGAGAGGCGGCGGAACATCTTGTCCTTCGGGGACAGTGGCCACGAGCGGGAGGCCCTGATCAAGGCCACGGCTAAAGGCTCAGATTTGATCGTTTGATGGGCCAGGGTTTCGTTGCAGTCTCGTTGTAGCTTGAGGCCAACATGCCGGACACGACAAGGAAGAATTTAAAGCTGGGCCTGCAGCTGTTTGGGAAATGTTCGGTGAAAGCGATGGCAGAGTGGGCTGTCGAGGTTCATGGACAGACCAGGCGTGGAGGAACTGCGCAAGCAGCATTCAGTCATGGTCGGGGACTTCAGGACACTTTGGCACAAGTTGAGCTTCTCAGTCCAAGTCTGTGAGGTGAAGTGCCTGCGGCAGATTGTCCACCATGATGGACACCTGGACCTCTACCTCAGGTGCCAGACCCAGCATCCTCCGAGCTTAAGCTCAGCATGTTTTGCTGCGGTACGCTGGCTGCATGTCTTTCTGCAAGCTGGCCCCCCCAAAGGACGGCATGAAACGATGAGATGTTCAGAGGCTCTGCGTTTTCTGTGAGGCTCTCTGCGAATTATGTATGCGCCGTTTCCGATCTATAGCTTTTTGCATGGGTTCGACCGTGTGTGGTATTCTGCCCTGCCCTTGTTGTCGGTTGCCGGACGCATGATATGCTGTGCACAGATGTTTCACCATAGTACCGCACCAAGTGTGCCATGGACAGGGAAGCACAGGGTGCCGACAGTAACACCGGTTTCTGAGGCTTCATGTTCAAAACATCTGTAGCCGGCAGCAAGGAAGAGTTTCGGACCCTGAACAGCTCCCACGGCTCGCAGCCAGGATCCCCAAATGGGAGCGAGATTGTACAGGCTGTCAAAGCTGCAGAACGCTGCTTGAACCACTTAAGCTCGCAGAGGCTTGCAGCTTGAGATCACATGATGGTGCCCTTCTTGGCACTTGTGGGCTGGTGACGGCTGGTTGCTGTATTGGCAGCCCATCTTCCAACCACGTGCATTTCTCGTACTGTGCCTTGGCCATGCGGACGTCGTCGGAGCTGCCGGCAGGATGTCCACATTTTTCAAGTTCACATCGGCGTCTTTTTCTGTAGGTTGCTCGCTGCATGGATTTTGAAAGTTCGTGTGGCGCAGCGTGTGAATCTATCCGGTTTGCCATGACCGTGAGCAAGCAAAGTGTCCTTCCGGCCTGAGCATGAAAGCAAGTCACACTGTGCCAGCATCTACGAATAGCTCAATCCGTGGCTGTGGGAGGAGGCTAACGCCGGCTGTCTCAGTGTGTCCCAGTCTTGCCGCCGAGCAAGCTGGAGACGACAGTGGTGGCCGTTCGACGAGTGCTGTCAAGAGCAGAAACAGGACTGCACCTCTGGAACAGGTTGTGCATTGTGCAGGTACCTGTGCAAGCGTGTGTAGCCGAGCCGCAGCTGTCACACACCAAGAGTGCCTTAAACATGCCAGTAGCAGCATAAGCGGCATAGCTCTTAGCATTGATTAGAATATTAGAACTACGGATTTCATATGCAGATGTCGACCTCCTCCGACCACATATCTAAATGCCGAAATGCTTACTATGGCTGGCTCTGGCAGCGACTCATTGGAGCTGGCTCTGCAGCGTATGACCGAGGCGCTGAAGCTGGCCAAGCAGAGGGAAGAAGACTTTGCGGCATCGCGCAGCGCTCGCTCTGCCGCTGAGACAGATCTTCGGAGGGATTGTGACGATTGCAGGCGCTGCCTCTGCTGCTTGTGTGTTGCTGGTCTCTTTTTCGCCGTTCTGTTTTTGCCTGTCCAGGCAGAAGGCTGCAAAGCTGTGGGCGGAGTCGCAGAGGCTCCAGAAGATGCTCCAGGCCGCAGCGCAGAATCGCAGAATCGGATCCCTTCAAGAGTTCTTTCCACGCTTCACAGGAAGGCGAGAAATACGACGAGCCCGGACCTCCATGAGGCTCGCAGACGGCCGTTCCCGGCCCTGTGGTCAAAACAGGCTCCTCTCTAGTTTTTTCCCCAAAGCAGGTGAAGTGAAGGAGTAGGCGGTGAGCAAGGTCCCGCATATGCTCCCTGCTGTTTGCAAAGTTGTACATAGTGGCGAGTGCCGTGTCAAGCAAGCATCATATCGGCGAGTTCCCAAGAATTCCAAAAGTCGTTGTGTGGACAACTAAGTCGACAGAACCGGCTCTTCCATATCTTGCCGTGGCTGTTTGCTGTGCCGCTTACATGGCTATCATGGCTCTATGCAGAGTGTGACATCTTGGCGACATGTGTTACAGAATCCTGTGTAGGTTTGACCGGTCGATAGACTGACACCCCCCGATCTTTCTGATTGCATCTCCCTCACAACCTGCAGCACAGCCTTGTAGAAGCCGCCCTTGTCGATCATGCAGAGGTGCGCCGATCCCGTATTGCCGCTGCTTCCTGCCTTCATAGACTGCTGGAGAAGCATCATGCTTGACTGTCAAGCAGACCGGCTTGCGGCAGCAGCAAGACATGTTGAACCCACACTTGAGACCACACTTTTTGCAGCCTCCTGCCCCGGTTAACTGTTAGCTAGACTCAGTATTTTTTCTCAGAGATCTTCAGCTAGACAGTTTTGCTTTACAGCCATGGAGGGCGATGCCACGAGCCCCCCAACAGATCCCAAAGCTGGGCTGGTCCTGGGTATAAAAGGCCGCGAGGAGGGCATACCTGCCTGCGAGCCTCGCAAGCAGGGCTCTCAGGTTTTGAGGTCGCTTGGAGCCACGAGCGTGTTTGCCCCGCCCAGTTTGCCCCGTGCAGTAGCGCGGAAAGAGTCAGCTCATCCAGCCGGTCCACAGCTGAGTCCTGGGTGTCACGAGAGCAACTCCAGGACAGCTCCGCTCAAGCACAGGGTCTTCAGTTGTCGCGACGCCGCATTCAGAGGAGCTGAGTGGAGGGGAGGAGACTGAGGAGGACAAGGACGACACTCAAGACGCGGAGAGGGCAGGCTTGTCTTTCTGAGCAATCCAATGCTATGTTCAAACATTCAAACTCCACATACGCCCCACCAGGCCTCACACGGTCTCCTCCAATAAAACGGGGTATGACCCCAAGTCGCTGTGAGTGTGAGATCCCGAGTTGCTCGGACAGTATCGGCATGTCGCCGAGCCCAGGTGCCGCGGTGTCCGTCGATGTCGCAGACATTCCTGTCAGGTGCTTAGACCGGCAAGTTGATGCAATTACTGCACTCCTCCTGGGCTTTCGCCATGTTCCTGTGAGGCGAAGCGTCGCCGGAAGCTGCCTCCAGGAGCAACTCACGGAATGGTTTCAGAGTCCCACTGGGCTTCTTCTAGATTTTCTTTCTAGAGGGTTGTGAACTCCGAGTGGCCGTCTCTTGGGCCCTTGCGGACTCAGGCACGTGTCATGTTCAACGACGAGGTGGATGAAATTGATCCGGACTTCGGCATCGCAGGGGGACAGTAAGCCACAGACGGCTCATCCTCATCTGAGACTTTTGAGGCGGAGTGCTGAGGCGGAGCGTGATCGGCCCCCGCCTACCCCCCCTAGATTCCTACATGGACTCGGCACTGCTGTCAGATGTCTCTGCGAGAACACGACGTCGAGAACTGTGTGCTGCAAGCTGTCGGAGAACTGGCGCCGAAATTGGAGAAGTGTGGGAAAAGCTTTGGGACTGAAACCTGTAAGCAGTGCTCCGACCGCAGTGAGTTGCACTGGTTGCATTGATCGGATTCTTCAAACGGAGATGGGTCTTCTGTTCGCAATGCCCAGCGCAGGCCTGACAGCATCCCAGAAGAGGTGCCTCATTGCTCGCGCTCTCTCCCTCTCTTTCTTTATGATCTCTTCGGGTATGTGCGCGCAACACGCGTGCTTTTTGTCTGACAGTGCTTTAGCGTTGGGCAGTCTGGGTTAGTGGAAGCGAGTCATGGCCAGGAGTGGAGAGGTGGCAGCCCAAGTGGTCAACAGTACGCAACATGCACCAGCCACCATGCATCCAACGGATCAGCCGTACCTTTTCTTGAGGCTTTCCGGGTGGCGGTCTCGGATGGTTCAATCGCATCTCGCAGCTAGAAAGCGTTTCTACATTGAGGCGTTCAACGAGGCTACACCTCCCAGGCTTGGCAACCTTGGGGGGGCACTTTTCATAAACGTTTTCAGATCAAAAAGACGAAAAGAATCTGAGAGTACGTGAGTCTACGTCTCCTTTCTGAGTTTTGCGGGAGGCTGGGCAGCTTGGCCCCGGCGGGCCCGGCGGGCCCTCCGCGCCCGGCGCGAGTGGCCTTCCAGTGCCTCCCTGAGAGCAAGGAAAAGTGACTTTGTGCTTTTTATTGGAAAAATTCCTGCTTCAATGCCGTGAGTTATGACGATGACTCTTAGGATCACTTTGGTATGGTTGCTTTTCCTATTTTGTTCAGCTCTCGTCGCTGCATGTCGTCTACTACCTTGACTGACGACCAGTCGCGCCCTCCTCCGTCGCAACCCCCGCCCCAACCGCCTTCTTCCACACAGGCGCGGTAAGCTCCACAAGCGACTTGCGACAAAAGTCTTGCCACTGTGACTTTGGCAGGGCAGCATGGGTATGCCCAAGGCGACGCCGCGGACTCACTGAAGCACAGCCGCAGAGTATCCGCTGTGGAGCATTCTGTGCATACAATAAGGACGGCTGTAGCTACAGGCCTGCTTCCTCTGAGTTTGCATGGCACCTTTTTTGTGCTTTCGCCTGGAGGTCTTGCCACTGGGGTCCGGGTGCTGCAACCACCGACAGGGTCGGGTTCCTGGCATGCCTCGAACATCCCGGCACGATCTTGTTGCCCACGAGGCCCCCAGCACAGGCACCGGCACGGTCATCCACGCCGCCAGTCACAGAGGTTCAGCCGAAGCTTTGCTCTGCCACTTCCTACCCTGTTGAAGTTGCAAGGGCCAGGCAATCCCGCCACCGGAGCCCTTCCAGGCCTGCGGCATGGGGATTGGTGCTTGCTCTCAAGTTTCCATCTCCAGGTAATTCCAGCTCAGATGCCCGAGAACCTGACGCCGGAGGAGCGCCGTGCCTAGGCTGGGATGAATACTGGAGCCGCCTTTATGCCTCCGCAGTTGAGGAGCAGCGCAAGCACCAAGCCCTCTACGTCACCACGCTTCAGGCACCGGCTGCTGCAGGATCTTCGTGCCTGAGCTCGAGCTGCACCAGCGCCAGGCTTCCCACGCCCTCCGCGACAAGTTTGGAATGGTGGGAATCTTGGAGGCAGGAGGCTCCCAGATCCTGTGCCTCATTGAAAACGAGCTGCTGAGCAGGTGGTTCGCATGTCAGATCCACATCTTAACACCTTGGCATTGGGTATGGATCTGACTGGCAGGACTGTGTTGACAAACTTTCAGGGAAAGGGCTTCTTTGTGTCTCCTCCCGAAGCAATACATCCATGACCTTCCGTGGTTGCATGCGTGCAGGAACGACACCCCGCCGCGACGGGAGCCAGAGTTCTATCTTCCTCAGAGCAGCTTGACAGCAACCTCACTCACATCTTTGCTTGCTTTTGTCAGCTGACACGATGTTCCAGGCTACTTCATGAACCCTCCGAGCCCGAAACTGGTGGCTTCGGCATGTTGCAACCCCTCCCTTGCACGGCTTGACTTGGAAGATAGCTTTAGGAGCCATTCTGGGGCCGGCCGCCACTTTCGTCGTACCTTTCTCCCGGGAAAGAGTGAGATGGTGGAACGGTAATGGTGTGAGATCTTCGAAAACGCCGAGAGTCCCGAAGCCAGCCCTCACCGTTCCGACGAAAGCTGAGTCCCAGGTCTCAGGCACTCCTTAGGGCTTCAGAGCTTGCCACTTCCAGCTCCATGGAATACGGGTTTCCGTCAGGTTTGATCGAAAGCGGAGAGCCGCAAAATTTGGGGTTGACAATCGTTGACTTGCACCGAAGCACAGCGAGATGAGCTCGTGTGATTAGCCATCCTGGAAAAAGCTACTCGTACCTGCCAGGAACACTTCTCGAAGTTTTCCCTGGAGACTTTGTTCTACATGTTCTACAGTATGCCCAGGGACCAACAACAGGTTCCATTCCTAGTCCGTGTTGTGTGCTGTGCTTGTTCGGGCAAGATAGGCTTGACGAAACGAGATCGTTCGTGCGTGCCAAGGCTCTTGCGGCGTGGCAGTTGTGCGCCGTTTTGCAGTCTCAGTTTGTCTCGACTCGACATGGTTCCTAGGCCATGCAAAGGTACGAGCGCGGATGGCTTTATCACAAGACAGAAAAGATGTGGATAGCAGCGCAGCCGCAGGTACGGAGGGCTGCTGTGGCTCTGGCACATGGGATTGAAAGTGCACGCATGCTGCATGCAGGACGATGGTGCAGGCAATGCTCGCAACGTGTACTATGACCCCATGGCTTGGGAGGTCAAATACGTGCCCAAGGAAGCCCGGTGCCCGGAAGTTGCTCAGGGAAACGCAGTGGGGTGAACCTGGCTTCCTTTGGCCGACCAGTGCCTAGTGGACGGAGGTGGATCAAGCCGGGTTCCTCACCAAGGCCCCGCATGAGACCTTGCACTGCTTAGCTTGCTGAGAATTGCCTGGCCAGGAAGAAGTGCGAGTGCGAGGAGTCACACCATAGGACCTGCTGAGCCATGCTGGGCCGCACTTGTGTTAGGAGCCAGCCGAAAGTGCCATTTGGAGGTTTGGAGCAGTGTGCCTGCAAGCAGTCCGACTTAGGGCAGCAAGCAAAAAGCATCCGGATCCGTTTACATACGCACTGCAATCCAGCAAAGTTGTGCAATTTGCGCCTTCTTTCATGTTGTGTCTGCTGCAGCTATGCGGTCGGGCTGGTTGGGGAGCCCAACAGGGTGAGCACATCTCGCAATGGAAGGCCGCATGAATGCGCCCCTTGCTTGCCCTAAAGCACAATCCGCAGTCTCTTCTGGTCTTGCAGGCGTTGCGTGTCTTCCGAGACACCTCTGAGCTTCTGCCTGGGAAGGTTGATTGCCATGAACGGCTCCGGAAACCCGCCCTAGCCCCCGCCGTGGCATGCCGTAGCCAGGATGGGAAACGCGAGCGCCGGTGACTGCAGCTTCAGGCCTCTTCGTCTCTAGCGGTCTAGCGTTGCCAAAGCATGCCCATATTTTACCATTAAATACAGCTTCTCCATGGTGCCGGATTCTGCAAGCCGTGTTGCGTGAGCGAAGGATCTTGCACAGTCTTCTTTCACCTCTAGTAAAGTTGTGTGCAAAGACAGCCAGGGAGACAGGCTGTAATGTATCATAACGACCGTGTGAACACCTTGTATCGCGGGAAGCAATAGTTATTGCGATTCGATCCGGCCCCAGATCGTAGGGAGATCTAGCCGAGACCAGAGTCTGTGGACCCGGGCCCCCCAAAGGAAGACTCTCAGAGACGGGGCATGTATGACGAAGGCGGAACTGCTGCGTAAACGCCGTTGCTGGCGCCCCGGTATCTTCGCCAGCCAGATTGATATCTCTTGGTCTTGGCTTGGCTACAGGTAAATCGGGAGAGATATTCAAAGCTCCCGATTTCAGGATCGAGGTTCCATAGTTCTGTGGCCGGACTCATTCCAGCTACAGACTGGCTTGCGAGCTTCAAGGGTGTTGAACCATTGGCCCAGCAGCATGTCACAGAAGCAGGGTTAGCGGACCGACTTGCGGCGCATGTCTTCTGAGGACAGAACGGTCGGCTTCGAGTACATCTCCGAAGGCCTGGTGATTCAATATCCGGAAGTCTGACGGTTCACAGTGGCAGTTTGTGTTACGTGAGGTCACACTACGGACATCGTGCACCTGGATGAGAACACAGGCATGGAGGAGAGTTCTTAGCAAAGCAAAAGTTCGGTTCAATTCTTCTTTGGCTTTTAAAACATTGGCCCAACATGGTGCGCGGTGGAAGGCACTCCGACTCAGAGCCGATGCCTGTCCATGCCCGGTGCCCTGTGGTGGCTGCATTTTCGTGGGCTTGCGGTTTAAGTTCTGGCATGGAGTTCAAGCACCTGTGGCACGAGGTGCGACTTTGCACACTAAGTGAGGAGTTTTGGAATGTGGAACATAGCTGCCTCAGGCCAACTTCTCTTGGAGATTTCTCAAAGCCGTGGCAAGAGTACAGGCACCATATTGTGTGTGTGTGTGTTGTTTGATGTTCAGTGCGAGGAATGTGTTCTGGTGCGAGGCTCCGATTCTATAATTTCAACATGGGGAATAGAGCTGCCCTGAGTGCAGCACAGCATTGCCGTTAGAGTTTGGAAAGTTCTGCAGTTGGCGTGGCTGCCGAGACGTTGTCTCTGGCAATGAATGCTTTCATCTGAGACTCTGACTTCCGATCTGTCGATGAACTCTCTGGACCAGGAGATGATACCTTGCTGAGCTGGGGGGCGCAGCATGTGAGAACGACACTAGAACGCCTACCGATCCTTGTCTCCAAGCCAGTGCTTGGAACTGCCAGGAGGACGCGGTGTGTTTTGCGATGCCCTGTCCGAAGATTTGGCAGATGGGCGCTCCCTTGACGTCTCCTTCGCCACTTTCGTCGAGGTCATTGTCATCCAAAGACCGTACGAAGAGAAGCGTGTGAAGTTATCTCTCGGCCTTCCTGGCCAGACCCGATTGAACTTCACCAGCTGGGTGGCCAAGTACTCCTCGGGCGACCAGCCGGGCTCTCGCCAGCCGCGGCGTCGCCGTGTCCGTTTTAAGCGGGTGCCGTTCCGAGGAAGCCTCGCTTGGACTCTCTCCTGACGCAGAGTGCCCGGCGCGAGGTGACTGCTTCAGCCGCCCGTCGTCATTCCAACCACGGCCTTGTCAGGGAAGTATGAGCTCACGAAATGTGGTCCGCAGCTTCGTTGAAGGCCGTGGACGGGTGGGGCTCAGGCTCAAAGTTTGGGAAGGGCTCTGGCGGGCCGCAGTTGCCCCGCAGGCCTTGCCGCAAGCTACAACGGCAATTTAAAATCGATGCGTCCGGCTCAGTGCTGCGCAGTTTGGTGCCCAAGCTCTTACTCCCACTCCCACTGGGCACCACAGGCTCGCCTTCTGCAGTGATGAGTTCCAGGAGGTGGGAAGGGATGTACGTGATGGAGTACAACAACAGCTCCTTAGAATACTGGCGAGAGTGTTCGAATTTCGTTTCCTTATGGGGATGCCAGCAAGTGAGTTTGGTCTGTGCTTTGTCATGATGTGTCAAGCAGCTACATGATTGCTGCCCGAGTGGCAGGACAAGTCTGGTGGCATCTTCGGAAGATTGACGGAGAGGCAGGTTGGAGGACCCCCGATGGGCCATACAGGGTCTGAGCACTCATGGCAAGTGCCGTGAGGCGTTAACCTCCACCCATCTCTGCAGCCGCCTTGTCTGTTCTGTGAGGAGTTCCCGTGCCGAACCCGAAGAAGGAGCGGCTTTCGTAATTCAGCAGGGCAGAGCTTTGCCGGAGTTGCAGGCGTTCATCGGGCGCAGCTTGATCCTGCCCGGAGGAGCTGGGGAAGGCGGGCGAACGTGTGCGTTGAATCCCGAGTGGCCCGGGGTTTGACTGCGGCGGGGCCTTGAGCCACCAGCACCAGCAGCACCAGCAGCAGCAGCAGCAGTAGCCCCAACACTACGCAGTCTGCATCACCAGAAGCATCACCATCATCACGATCATCACCGTCGTCACCATCATCATCATCATCATCATCATGAACATCTTTATCTTATGGATTCTGATTTAGGAAAGCTGCTTGTGTAGAAACCGTCCTAGCACTCGCTTGTATAGCGCCCTTGACCAATGCACCTTACCGCAGACATCTTGAGTCACAGCGAAAACTTGGCTAGCCAGTATGCACTGTCGACTCCGTAAGCTGGCATTCGTTTCAAGAACTGCTAGCGCGGAGCCAGCGGATCGCAGAGCCCATGATCGTTGCAGGGTTGAAATATCAGGCGACCCAGTGGGTTGAAGACAAAGTCCGGATCGTATATCTATACGGGCACTGCCTCAGCTTAGAACACGGCTACGCATATTGCAACACAAAGTGCAACACAAGGAGAAACAGAGGCGAGGGGTCCTGAAGGATATGCGTGGCGCAGCATTCGCCAGGAGCCAGTCGCGGGTGAAGCGGTTTGGCAATGGCCTGGTCCGTAGCTTTAGGCTTAGGTCGCAGAATGCTGCAGGCACAGACCTCCCCACCGAGGGAGAGTCAAACGGCATACCCGCTAGCCCGTCCAGTGCCAGGCGGGCGAGGCCTGCGTCTGTGGATGAAGACGAGGACGTAGAGTCAGCGCCGAGCCATCCCAGCCAGATAGATGGCGATGGTGACGGCGACATCGACGACGAAGCCCGGGCGAAAACTGAGCCCGTGGTGCCGACCCCAGCAGACGTGGACGATGCCGACACAGATATGTCAGAATGCGTCTCGAAAATTCGCGAAGGTCTCCGTGTATTGCTAGGGACATTGGCTTGCCGCGACTGTTGTGGCCGGATGGCATAGACCATCTGATCGAGTAGATCCGTCAACAAGCCTTTCCCCTCCAGTCGGAGGAGGCTTCTGAGTTGTCTCGACAAGGGCAGGTGATCACCGGGTTCTCGCTAAGCAGCAGGGCGAACCCATGCTCTCCTACATCCCCCGCCGAAAGAGGTGGTGGCCACCCTTCGTGAGTTGGATCTCGACATTAGGCTGTCAGAGGTGATGAGGGCAAACCTGCTTACCTGACGAACTGTCTGGTTTAAGCCGACAGGAGCAACTCATGATCAAGACGGCTGCCCGTGCACACACGGGATAGGAGTGCGCCAGGGTGCTTGTGCAGCATCACTCCGTGGTGCACATGAAAGAGAGACTTCTCACCGAGAAGCCGAATTCCCATGGACCAGGGTATAAACCCTGGGCATCGCGACAGCAGAATGCAGCCCCGAAGTATGGGTACATTGGCTATGGTTACGGTGAAGACGACGTCGAAGGAGCAGACCAGGGTAGACCACCTGAGGAAAGGCACAACGGGCACGTGGCAGCAATGCCAGCAGGTTCGGCCGACGACGAAGAGGTATGGCTTGACGACGAGGACGTCGCAGTGCAACTCAACGCCTATGCGGCGGTCGCCTCGGAGCTCGAAGAGGACACCCTTGGCGACGAGTGTGCTCAGGCCGTGCAGCCTGCATATGCAGGTCCGAATACCCGTAGTCAAGCCAAGGGCAAAGGCCAGGGACAAGCAAAAGACAAGGAACAGCCAGGCAATTTATCCGATCTAAGCTGACGATTGCGGAGTGGTCGGTCACGGGGCTGGTGACGCAGAATGTCGTTTCAAAAGGAAACGGTTGTAAGGGTTCCGCACCTACCTCGAGGCCCGGTGACACCGGCACTGACCGGAGGGACAGCGAAGCCCCAGCACCCTAAGCCGCAGGGATATATGGCCCTTGATGACTCAGACGAGGAGGTCGTTTACCTTCGGAGTTCCTGTTCGGATTCGCATGGTTTCATGGCCTTGAAGTCATCAAGAATACCTCTAGCAGTGGTAAGGGCAACGGGGTTACGTCCCCCCAGCTCTCTAGCTGGGCTGTCTCGCTCGGCCTTCGATTAAGAGCTGCTGATATTTCGAATGCGTATTTGCAAGGACAACCACTAGAGTTACGATGGCTCATCCTTCGCGTTCCTGAACACCCACAAACGGTACCAGACCCAGAGACACAGGAAGCAGGTTTCATGATAGCCAGGGTACCCGTCTACGGCACAACCGATGCCGGTAGAAACTTATATCTCCGTATAAAGGAGAGTAGCCGCAACTTTGGATTGAGAGCTTCGCAAATTCTCTGGCCTACCGAGATTCACAAAAAGTGAGAAAGGCACTACCCCTGTGTCGAGTATTCAGCGTACAGCTTTACGCTCGGTTATATAAGTTATAGGTTCATTGGCATGGGTAGCCCGTGCCACACGGCCTGACTTGGCCTATAGGGTCAATGCTCTCCAGCAGCAAGTGACCGCAGTCACTGTGAAACCCCCCGTGAGACAAATCGCTTTGTAGCTTTGGCCTTCAGTGATGCTGAGAGAAGCCTAGTGTACAAGGCCCAGTTGCCATGGGGGACTAGAGAGCTAGCCATACAATGGATTGCCGACACGCACGACATGCATCTCCTATCATTTAGTTCATCAACTATGAAGCGTGTTCCTCGCGCTACGTTGCAATGCGAAGCCTACTCGCTGCAGCACGCCGCAGAGCATGGTGACAGACTTCGCGCTAGTGTACTTGATACCCTGGGAAAACTTCCTGTACGCGGAGAGTGGGAAGAAGTTGCGAGGCGGAGCATGCTACACGTCCAATACAGCACAACTCGGGGACAAACGGTTGAGCATAGAACTCGCCGGGTTACGACAAACGTTTTGGGAGGATGACATCCCTAGCCACGAGGCATTCACGCCCTATGGGGATATTCTCAGGCGGATAGCCACACACCTGCGATTGGCTGACTGCCTGACAAAGTCAGTGAAGCCACACCTCTTGAATGAGGCCATTTGCTCTAACAAAGTCATTGTGGCGGATCGTGCACCGGAGCCGCTCGCGACTACGGAGAACGAGCCAACGGCGATAGGGTAGATCGGTTTTGTCACTTTTGTTCCTACAGCCGAGCCCCGACACAGTTCGGGAGATCAAGCAGCGTCCAATGAGGCATGGAAGTCATTGCGCACCCGCGCCGTCACGCTGGCCAGCGCAGCTGACATCATTTTTCGTATCACGATCGGTCAGACGGAGATAAGACGGATGTGAAAATCCCCTGTCTTTTGGACTCTGATTTAGGAAAGCCGTGTTGACCCCAGTATACTAGAGACAATACCTGCTTGTGCTTGTATAGAAACCGTCCTAGCACTCGGTTGTATAGCGCCCTGGACAAATGCACGTTACCGCAGACGTCGTGAGTCACAGCGAAAACTTGGCTAGCCAGTATGCACTGTCGGCTCTGTGAGCTGGCATTCGTTTCATCATCATCATCATCATCATCCTCGTCATCATCGCCATCACCATCGCCATTATCATCATCCTCATCACCACCACCCTCATCCTCACCATCATCCTCATCCCACTCCACTTTCTCATCATCAGCATCCTCCTCCTCCACCTCCCCCTCCTCCTCCTCATCATCATCCTCCTCCTCGTCCTCATCATCCTCATACTCATCATCCTCCTCTTCATCATCATCTTCAGCCTCATCCTCCTCCTCTTCGACTTCTTCGTCCTCATCATCAGCATCACCATCACCATCATGACCATCATCATCGTCATGATCACCATCACCATCACCCTCCTCCTCCTCATCCTCCTCCCCCTCATCCTCATACTCCTCCTCATCATCATCATGATCATCATCCTCATCCTCTTCATCATCATCAACATCACCATCATCATCATCATTACCATCATCATCACCATCATCATCAACATCAACAACATCATCATCATCATTATCACCATCATCATCGTCGTCTTCGTCTCCAACACTATCATCATCACCACCATCATCATCATCATCCTCATTCCGTCCTCATGTTCATCCTCATCATCCTCATCATCATCGGACTTCACTGACAGCTCCTGCAACTTAGGCTTGTCGTTGGCTCCGTACGACGTTGCAATCTGCTTACTCATCATCCTCATCGTCATCTTCGGGTTGGGCATTCGCCTGAAACTTTCTCATTCCCTCAAAGCACATGTCCTAAATAACACACCACACGCTGAAGTGCATATGAAGATGTCAAGACTGAACCAGATACCCTAAGCCCTAAACCCCAAACCTTAAACTGGACCGTCATCCCTTCAACAGAAGCCAGCCGAGCTCTTTGTCCGCAGCCGCTTCAAAAACACACACAAAGCCCCAGCCGTGGTTACTTTGGTGGGGCTTTGGCCAGTAGCTGCCTAGTGGGGCATTCGGTGGCCGTCCTCCAATGCGGAACGCGATGCTCGAGCTGTGAGGCATCCGCATCTGTTTCGTCAGCTGTCACTTCCCCATCACGCAGATAGCTGCAGCGCTGGAGGACATCGGGTCGTCAAACCTTTTAAGATGCTGGGCCGTCGGCTGCGACCGTCCCCTGCCTGTCGCGACCACCAGGACCCTGTACAGGACCCACTGGAAGCAGCGAAGATCGCATTGGCAAAGACCTTGCGCAAGGTGTGACATTCGGGACCTCTTCTCTCTGTGGGTTTGATAGAGTCAAGCAGACCTCGGCTCCAGTCCTTGAGCAGGTGCTCCGCAAAGCTCACCAGAGGATTGCCAGTGAGATCAGGGAGTGACGCCAAGAAGCAACCATTCATGCAGCTCTTTCAGGAGCCTCACCGACGAGCGAACGATCATCTTCGTGCAAGGGGACCCATCCGATGCAGAAACTCCCGAATTCTCTCTGGGGCCTTGTGGAAGCAGCGTGTGGGGCAGGACATCAACAGCCGGACCGTGCTCCGGGAGGGGGAGGCCGGGGACAGCCCGCCGGTTTTGCCTCACAGAGCTTTGCGCCATTCCGAGGTCAATGATGTCCTGTTGGAGCTGCTGGAAGACGAGTCGCTGCAGTCGGCAATTCAGCAGCAGGCCATGCCTCTCAGCACGGGACACAGGTACGAGGAAGAGGTCAGGTGAAGGGAAGAGATGAAGAGTGCGGCTAGCAGGTAGCTGACCTTTGCTTGACACTGCAAAGCACTCTCTTCTGGCCCAGTTGGAAGATTTGCCTGCCGGGCGATGGCGTGAAGCCGTGTCGCACGACAGCGCCGGGGGTCCTGTGTTTTCAGGTTCGCTGCACACCATGCTTGGCTGCGTGATGCCAAGGTGCATGAGCTACCTGTAACTTACAAATTCAGCAACAAGAAGGTGTGCCAGACTGGCAACAGCTAGGGCCCCGGTGGCGCAGTCCCAGCCTCGCGGTTTGGTTTGGCTTGGACTGGAATTCGTGAGGTCCCGCACGCCGGCGTGAGCGTGCGGAGCAGTCCCCCAAAAGCGAGGAGTCAGGTTCGGCCCCACTGCGCTCGTGATAAGCAATTATGGGCCTCTAGGTTGAGGACATCGTGTGGATGTCTATTCTCTAGGGCTCTCCGTAAGCAGAGCGCCTGCAGCTGTAGCAGGCTCAGACCGCGAGCATTATCTCACCATAGGTGCAGAACTGAGCTCCGAGAGTGCGCTAGATCTCGTGTCGGGGGACTGCACTGTTGCTACAGTCGCAAGTGCTGGTGGTCGTCCTCGTCCTGCTGGTGTGCAGTTGGTAGACGCTGCTAAGGCTTACCGCTTAGCCCTAGTCGATGGCAGTCTGATCGTCAAGGTGTCGTGAAAATACCCTCCGAGCTGCACGCGGAGCAGGTTTGCTTCTTTCCTCGCGACATTCTGTTGTTTGATGCGAGGACGCTGACTCTGTTTCCCCGTACGCGCGTTTTCGTCGGCCTTGGAAACTAGTTGAACCCGACGTCGTCCCTACGACTCTTTTGTGGAGATGGTCTGCGCAGTGTTGGATTCGGCATGCGAGCCTGTGCCATCTCAGGTGATGTGATGTCCAAGGCGACACGGCCTCAAGACTGACGTTCCGCATCGTCCGGCACTGTTTCTGCGCAATCAGATACACAGCTGCGCTCTTGATAAGGCGACTGCAAGCCGATTCTGTTCCGGACTTGAGCAAGGCCAGGCGGACAGATTAAGGCAGCCTGTGTAGTCGTTTTCAGAATTCCAGGGGTGAAGTCTGCTGCCTGGAAAACTGCGGACTTGGAGGTTCAGACCACGAAGACGACCTCCACAACGACAAGCAAGCGTAGTCCTCAGTTTCAACCAGGTCCAGGCATGTCTGTGGTGCTGTCATGATGATAATTAAAAGGCCTTGGGATTTCACGCATCCACAGGGCTTGGGTGCTATCCCGAACACATAGCTGGATGTTCCGATCCTCAGGCGCACAGAAGGCGGTCTTTACAAGAGGACAGCAGTGATGGCAAGTCATTGCACAGCAGCACTGACAACAGCGCCCTGGGATCTCTGAAATGCCAACGAGTCTGACCTGTTTCAATCAACAAGATTTAGCAAAAGCTGTCCGGAAACCAATGAAGCGACAGGACCTTGGCGACTCTGGGACAGGAGTGGCTGGACAACTGGGGGGTGGTGTGGAGCTTAGCTGCGGGCATTGAGACAACTGGACGGCTAAGTTTCACTAGCGCCGCCAGCCCCCAAATCAGGAAAACTAGCATCATGGGTTGAGTTTTCTTTCGGCATCCGTATGAAGAGAAGGCTCATTTGGCAAGCCTTCGCATCGTGCCCAGGCCTTCAAGCAGAAGGACTTCCGATCTTTCAGGAGCCCACTTTTGCAGCATAACTTAGTTGGTAGGGTAGTGCAGATGCTTCCATTTCTGGTTGTTGTAAGATTGTATATATATATATATATGTGCGTGTGTGTGTGTGTGCGTGTGCAACGTGAATACCATGGTTCCTGGCCCGATCTTCCCACTTCGCGGCCAGGTTCCCCTCGTGTGCTGACCGGGTGATCTACTGGGCCTCGGATGCGCTGTATGATCGTATGAGCTGGGAGCTGCCGAGGGGCGGCTACGAGGCCATTGGAATCGGATCAGACTGTTATCAGAGGAGATCCCTTCTGCTCCACGGCCAGGTCAACCACTCGCAACTGGGAAGTGACCATCGCCCTGTCAGCTTGGAGGCGTTTTTGGTTGCACCACTCGGTTTTTCGGGTGCTTTGCCATGCCTCCGGCGGTCTCTGCCGTGCGCAGGTCATCTTGAGAATCTCCGAGGACCCTATCCGAGAGTCCAAGACTCTGAAGCCAGCAGCGCACCCAGAAAACTTTGCTGAGCCTTTGGCTGCCGTCAGCCGTAGTATGCCCAGGCCCGCAGCTACATGACGGAGGCATGTATCATGGGCTCGGAGCATCGTGTCGTCAGAATTTCGTTGTGGTTCCTGGCCAGAAGCCTTTGAAACCATGATCCTGCTTGTGTGAGGGCTTCCTCTCGGAGCCTGAAGATCCCATGTCAGAGGCAGAGGTGGAGGCGCAAGTTGCAAGAAGCGGTGTCTGTGGAGATCGGCGGCATTGACACCATGCTTCTTCTAAAGCTGCTACTCGAGTCTCCTTGTAGGAAAGACTTCGTCTTACCGGAGCATCGTGCAACGCGTGCGAAGCGTTGCTGGAAAAGGACGTGGAACTCGTTTCGCTGCTCAGGAGGATGGCTTGGAATCCTGCGAGGCCACACCCAGGCGAGGCTGAACTCGTCTGAGCAAATTGCAATAAAGCGTGGCGTGCCAGTGCAGGACGGTCGCATCGTCGCCGCCCGCATTCGGAGAAGTCCGATTCTGAACATCTGTCATGAGACCGAAGTAGTGATTCAGGACTTGCCGACGCAGTCAGAAACGCTTATCTGTGTTAAGCGCTCTCTGTTGAGGCGCGGTCGCCCAGTCGCCGCCGCTCAGAGTCAGATGCCAGCGCGTTCTCCAGCCGGTACCCGGGCTCTGCCGGACCCCAAGTCTCCGAGTTTGCTCGACCGCAGCTTTGGGTTGCCAAGGATCAAGATTCCTGAGCAAAGTATCTGCCTTGCCAAAGGGCAAGCTGCAGAAACTTTGGGACAAGTCGACGGCTGCGAAGTGGTCGTCCGGCTTGGGAGGCTGCTGAGATCTGCTGAACGGACCATCACTCCGAACCCTTTAACTCACAACTCCTCCACGAGAAGCTCGTTCTCAGCAGCCCTCGAGCCCGTGAAATCCATGCAGGATCGCTGGACGGCGAGCCAGCTGTTTATAAAGATCACAATGGAATATGTGCTGTCCACTCGCTACTTCGCGCGAGTGCCAGTGGCTACACACCGCCCCGGTACAACAGGCTTGCAACTTTATATGGTCGCAGACACATGAACACAAAGAAGGGCGTACTCTTGGCCGCACTGGCGAAGGTGGGTTGTTTCGAGACGATGAGCTCACACCTGCCTCGTGCGCAGCCTATTTTCCTGCATTTGGTTGCCAGCGAGGCTCCGAGTAAATCTCCGATTCGGCCTGTACAGGCCTGCACGTATTTACGAATCTGGGGTGATGCAGGGTCACGGCATGAAGTTCTTGATCAGCTGCATCATCGGTCCTTCGCGGCGTCGGTCTCAATCTTTCTGTTACGGCATCTGAATGTTACAGAGATTAGCGCTGGACAGCGACGCGACGCATTTAGGATGTGGAGTTTCACGCTTCAGAAATCCGCGTATTGCCGGTTCGAAGGGCCAGACCAGAAAGGCTGCGCATGCTGGGCATGGTGCGCAGCTGCATGTGGCTTCACAGCGACGCGGTCGGGCATGAAGAAGCCGCATACCGCAACTTCCACGACTTCTAAACCCCGTCCGGTGGCTCAAGACGAGCCTAAGTTGTCATGGCATACGGCTATGGCCCCAAGCCTGCCTGGACCTTGGATAGGACTTCGTTGCTGGTCCCTTCCACATCTTTACATCCGAAGGCCTACCACTCCAAGAGCTACCACAAGGAGGCCCAAGCTTCCGTGCAAGATGCAAGCATGCGGAGTTCGCAGTAAAGCCGCCACTGCCGAGGCCTTGCGGACTGTGTACCGTCGGAGGCGGGAAAGACGGGCCCGCGATCTCTCTTCGCAGTGGGGATCAAACTCAGAGAGCCGTTTGGCCATCCCCCAGTGATGTCATTCCTGCACCTGCTTCTTGAGGGCCTTCTGAAGAGTGTCTGGAGTCCTTGCGGAGGCTCGATCACCTGGGCCTGAAGCTTCAACAGCTGGACTTGGGTGGCCCGAGCCTTGAGAGTGCATCAGCTCTGAAAGCCGAACCCTCCGTCAAAGACTGAGGCGACGTGGAGAACACAGAAAGGGAGGTCGCCGGTCCCCTGTCGCGTGTGAGGCCTTTAACCAGAAGACTTGTGCCAGGGCGTGCCATATGGAAACCTCCTGGGCTCCGTGCAGCTTCCTGGCTCACTGCAGGGAGCCCAGGAGGTGCCTGCAGTGGCGAGACGCCGCACGGACTCAGCAAGCGGCACCCCATGGCGTTATGACACCCAGCTCAGATTTGTATCTGCCGCTTCTTGCGCAGATGGATGCGCGTGCCGTCCTGAAAGGCTCCCAGCATTTTTTGGTTCACATGCAGCTGCCGGCTGCCCGGTAAAGCTTTCCAGGGACATCTTGAACGTTTGGTGCAGAAGGTACTTGGAGGCACTTCAAACCTCTCTCCAAACTCTAACTCTAGGTATCTGTTCAACGAAGTAGGGACTTGCACCATTCCGGAAGTGCAGCATCTTGGGGCCTGAGCCATGGCTGATTCCGAACAGAAGGCGCTTACCGGGCAAGTGAGGTTTCATGCGTACTGTAGCCACCAGCAGATGGTCAAACTGTGACTTATGATGAACTGTGCTGACTTCAGCTACTGTTGACGTTTCTCTGTGCCCCGACCTTGCTTGCCACGACAGACCTCGCTTGCGGTCACTGTGGACCTTGCTGCGAGGCACGATACCTGGCCATGCGCCAGGCTCTAGCAGTCATCGAGGCGCGTGTAGCGGAGAAAGCTTGGGGTGAGCACTTTTGGGGAAGGGGACTTCGGATTCTCGTTGCAGCTCTTCGCAGGAGATGAAACCCGACTCAACATGGAAGCTGAATTCAAAGAAGCTCAGGCGCAGCCCGACGGCCTGTGCGGCGGTTGCGCCGAGTGGCAAAACCGGCACCGTCGGGACACGAAGCAACTCCTCCAGGTGCTCTTGAAAGTCTCCCGCTACTCTGGTGACAGACCTTGTGGATTGAACAGTGGAAGCCGAAGTTCGCTGGCTAGACGCAGCACGTGCAAGATGCAGCAAGACATTTATGGGTAAGGCTTGATCTTTACGTAAAGAAACATTCGACGGACAATTTGTCCTTCGAGACCCTGGTCGCAGAGCTTGTTAGGTCTCGGAGTGTCGGAGTGTTTTCGGAGCTTCCGGTCAGGAAGTCGCCCATTTGAGGGCAGCTTTGCAAAGGATGCTGGCTCAGATGGGACAGCTTCTTTGCTGCGCTTAAACTCGAGTTTGAGCTTTTCGCTCGCTGCCAGCCTCAGCGTTCCCAACACCCCACGATTCGCTCGAAAAAGCTCTCCTAGCAATGGTTCTTGAACGATGGCCGTGCGGTGCCCAGCTCTGTCATCCTTGATGGTAGCGACCAGCTTAGGTTGCTACCTGCCGAAGACGTTTCTAGGCTGCAACAGGCTCCTTGGCCCAAGCATGTGGTCTCCGAGAGGAGTACTGGTTTGTTACGGTCTTGAGTTTCAATTTCGACGGCTTGGATAATGGCAGTGCGGCACCGAGGAGCTGAATCTTGACTCCCGCACGTCGGCTGCAAGTTTTGCTGAGAGTTCAAGGTAGGGAGGTGCACCTGGATGCTCAGAGGTCTGTTCAACCAGGGCTCGAAGCCCTGCATCACGGAGAACGACCTCGTACTTGCCTAAAGCCGATGAAACATCGAGGGCCTGCGTAAATGTGTGCCCAGTCGCCAAGGCAACCATGAAGTCTGAAACTTACGGGACTGCGTGTGTCTTGAATCTGTCGCTCAGCCCTGCCCCTCGCGAAGTTGAGGTTGGCCAGCGTTGGTAAAGAGGTCGTCAACTTGAAGGCAGAAAACGCCGCGTTGAAGAAGCGACAAGCAGAAAGCCGCCCAGCCGCAAAGTTCAGGTCTCCTGTCTCGGGTCGTGGCCGTGTAGCTTCCCCTCCTTTCGCACTTAGAGTCTTAGAGTCGTTGCTCTCGTCCACGGGGTGGAGACCGCTGAGGCGAAGCGGAGCTGGCGCAGCAGCAGCGGCGAAGTGCGGCGTTGGAACGAGAGCTCCGGGAACTGAAGCAGCAAATGGCTCAGAAGGAGATCCAGGCGCTCTGGACAGCCATTTTTTCAAGCTACAGTAACGAGGAGCCTTTACAGTTGAAAGGGGATGACGCTAGAATTTGCCAATGGATCTCCATCCACTGCTCGGACTCTCCTCCCCTCTGCCCGAGCCCGAGCTCTGTCGCCGTGAGGCCGCCAGCCCCGAGTTCTCTTTCGAAGCCCGCCGTGGGAAGCCGCAGAAGACGAAGGAGAGCTGATCCTGCGCTTGTGTGCTGAGACTGAGGAACTGCAGGGTAGAGGTTTATGCCGAAGCTGCAGCATCAACAACCATATCAGATGAGTGACCCACGCAGGACCTGTCTCTGTTCCCTCGGAGCTTCTCGAAGCAAAAGGAGGACCGCGTGCTAAGTTCAATGCACCCCTGGACAGCGCCGTTGAATCGCGGTGCGAGGAGTCCTACCTCAGTCGCTGTCCCTCGCGACCCACTGTCGTCGACATGAAATTGGCATCCTCCCCGAGCTTGGGTCGACTGCAGCTCGGTGCAACGCCTTAGGCTGTAGACTTACTCTGCCTTCCACCAGCTGGAGACTCCTCCGGCTCTCACTTGTTTCACTTGATCACACAGGCTCCGGCCGAAGGCCAGTTGGGCTCTTGCTAGCATCAGAATTCGTGGGCTCCTCTTTGAGCCGTGGGCTGCCAGGGCTAAGTCTACCGTCCTAGCAGTGCTGATGCAGGCCATCGCCGCTGAGGACAGCTGCAAATCGTGGAAATCGGAATTGCGGTTTGCCACTCCGTCCCCTCATCTATCTATCTATCTATCTATCTATCTATCTATATATATATATATACATATACATATATACATACATACACACACACACATACATACAGACATATATATATACACACACACAAACAAACTCTGACTCTCCCTTCGCCTAGTCCCAGCTCTCGCGGTGTTTCGAGGCCTTCGGATTTCGAGAAGACTGCAAAGGCACGCCTGGGGCTTGAGTGATAGCCAGGCAGAGGAGGGAAGCCTCGGCGTGGGGAATGTCTTCACACGCACAAGTTCAGACGACACTGCAGAACGGAGCTCTGCAGCCCCACGGCTTACAGGATCGCCACAGGTGACCTTGCTCGCACGGAGTTCCTGCACACTGCCAACGGGTCCTGCTTCGTCGTGCCGTTTTGATTGACTCGTCGGGTGTAGAACTTGTCGTGAAACACACATGTGTGTGCGGGGACATGTTCGGCGATGGACGCGACCGCTGCAGCAACTGCGGCTCCGCGTCGTCGCCCCGACCTTTCAGCACCTGCCCTCTCCACCCTCGTCGTATTCTCCTTTTATTTATTGAGACTTATGGGTCGTCGCTCGCTGGCGGGCGGCGGACTGGGAGGCAGAATGCGTCTCCCGGCGCCGTACAGGCCTGCACCGGCGAAGGCGACGGACCCGGCGTGATGCGCCTTCTTCCATCCAAAAGAAGGGTCCTGCTTCGTCGTGCCGTTTTGGTTAACTCGTCGGGTGTCGAACTTGCCTGCCAGTGCATCAGCACTGCTCTTGGCCATTAGCATCATAAGACTCAGGTTGCAGAAGCAGTTTTTCAAAGTTGTCGCTTGCGTCGGCAGCGTGGGAATGACACCTCCAGTCGTGCCAGTGGCCAGCAGTGGCAACCAGCTGCCGTGTGTTGATTTTCGTCGGACCTGGCGTTGGCGCTCGTCATGGCAAGAGCCTTCGTGCAGTGCAGTGCCGGCGCGGTCCGCGAGTCCGCCTCACATCGTTCAGACTCGAGCTGTTGCTGTGCTCATGACGTTCAGGCCGAGCTCCTGGTAAAGGAGATCAGCAGCCTCCATGAAGAGTGCGGGTCCCGAGCTTCCGAGATTTGCCTGAAGCTTCCGAGTCTCCGAGTATCTCCGAGTGTGAGGCGCCGGCACCTGCGCCGGCAAGTGGAGGCTGCGGACCTCAACGGCACCCAGGAGGCCAATGAATGTCGCTGATGGTTTTGGGGAAGTCTGGAGATCTGCGCCGCTTGGGTTTTGGGCCTTCTCAAGCGTCAGGCGCAAGAGGTCTCGGCTGCTTTGGAGGGCGCCCGGGATCGTTTCCTCGAGTCCCAGCCCAGGTCCCAGTCATCCCAACAGCAGAGAGAGGACAGAGATGATGTCGGGTATGAGATGTTTCGGGCCTCTGTGATCATGTTTGAGGCTGCGAAGGGATCGCCTGCGTCGGCTGGTGAAGGGCCTCGAAGGCATCGGTAGATCAGATCTTCAGGCGGCTTTGAAGACAGATGTCGACCAATGCAAGGTCACACCCCGCCACAGCCAGAGCAGGCCTCGGATGCTTCGTCACAGCCTGGCGTGGCCGAGTTCTCTCGGAGGTGGAGGTGTCGCTGCAAGAGAGGGAGCGCGAGCTCGAATTGCAGGCCGGACCGGCAGCCCGAGTGGCCGAGTCCGAACTGCTGAGTTGTCAGGTGGAGTCGCTTCGGAAAGACACGGCGAACCTGGAACAGCGCGCGCCTCTCAGGAGTGCCGTGCAGAACGGACCAGGGAACTAGCTCCGCATAGCATCCGCATAGTTGGGCAGGTATCACTTGTTTCTGCCGCGGCACGCCACACGATCGATCCCTGCGACAGTTGACAGTTTCGCGAGGATCGCAGCCCCGACACACCCGATCCCTGCCAACCACGGTGAAAACTCTCAATGTGTTGTTGCCGCGGGGCAAAACAAGACAACCCGATCATGCCCCACGACAAAGCGAGCAGAAACCTGTGCATGCTTGACGAGGGGCCGCTGCATGGTCAAGCATCGCACGATGCAGGGACATGTATAGCGACATTGGATGATCTGTGGCAGATGTGCTCACATGCAGAGGTCGTCAAACCTTCATCAAGGAGCTGGAGGACTGCCGCCGCCCGGTCCCTGTTGCCTGCCTTCCTTCATGTGGGCGGTTTTCCAACTAATCTCGAATGCCGGGCGACACTTTATCCGTGCTATGACAACAGTTTGCATGCACCAGTCCGACACTCACATCACGTTCGTCAGCAAAGTTGCCAGTGCATCCTAGCAGGTGTCATTTCGTCGATTTGAAACACCTGCAAGTTCCTTGGGTCATGTACCTCAACCATCTCAGGGATGATGTTGGCGAACACCTAGCTTCGCTCATCGCACCGAGACCACAAGTTCACGTTGAAAAAAGGTAATGTGTTCGAGACGAGCTATGGATCAGGTCAGGCGGCAGAGCGCACTGCGGAGCTTCGCCACTCGGAGGAGCCTTTCAGTGGGGCAGCGAAGGGTGCTGGATATATGAAGTCAGGATGCTGTAGGACGGGTGTTTCGACAGCTGCAGTGCGCAAGCCACCCAGAGAATCTTTGTGCAAGCATGCTGAAAGAACAGGCAGACCGGGCAACCAGTGGAAAATCAATCGTCCGTTGGGGAAGAACTGAAGCCCAGACTGCGAGGAGCTTGGCTCCGAGGCTGTCGCACGTTGTGCAGCTTTGCAGGCAGCTCATTGTATCATGCTTTGAAGTATCCTGCGTGGGAGGATGCATTGGCAGGGCTTGAACTTTGATTTTGGCCACTGCGAATGCTCAGTCTTTGCGGCTGCTGCTGCTGCCGTGGTGTGCCATGGTCGTGGTGTTGGTGTTCATTCCTGGTTCTTGTCCCCCAGCCACACCACCAGCCACACCACCAGCGGCATCTAGGTGTGGTAGTAAGCGGCGGCAAACCCATCTGTCTCAGCTCGAGCTGAAGCTGCTCCAAGAGAAGATCTTCGGAGTGGAGACGGAGCGCCAGGACTCCCAAAACAGAAAAGCCCACTGTTACCAGTAGCACGTGGACGTGGACGTGACTCACGGTGTCTAGAGCCGAGCGGACTGGAGAGGAGCTCTGGCAGAAGCAGCGCAAAATGGGGGAGCAGTTTGAAAGTGCCTGGGAGGCAGCCACTGCTGAGGCGCGGAGATTTTTTGAGACGGTTGATTTTTACGACAGTTGAAGGAAGTTTTCGTGATGAGACACAAGCCCAACCGCTCGCATGGTAATGCTAAGGATTCCCTTTCTGGTTGCTTCGGCTTGCGCTGTCAATGTCATGATCGCGTCTTCTTACTGTTATAAGTGTGACTGCCGTCGCTATCTACTGTTGCTGCTGCCGCAGAAGTGTTTTTTCTTGGGCCGCCTTGGGGCCGTGCCAGTCGTGCTCGTTGCAGCGGTAGCATGCCGCCTTAGAGGTACCAGTAGCACCGAAGGGGCGGCCTATGCCAGGCGAAGCGCTGCCTCGTGCAGCTGAGCGCTGAGGCGTCACGCGAGGCCGGCGACGAGCAGGGCCTTAGCCAGGAGCCCAGCCGATGGTGAGGATTTAACTCTATCGGGCGGTTCACTGCGGGCTTGGGAGTACCAGCTTGGGTTGAATGATGCTCCGGGGCCTCGGTGGCTCCAGTCTGCAGCGAGGCATCCTTGAGTCTGAGTACGACCAACGAAATTCGACTTCGTTAAACCCTTTTTCGTGCTGCACGGGTTGCCTACATTACATCAGAGCGGACCGCGGACAACAATTGCAGGCAAGAAGTCGAACGTATATAGATTCAGCAGGAACCGCTTCAGTCTGCAGTTATCTCGAAGAAGGTTTCTTTCAGGAGCCCGTGTCGCCACTGTCGGCCACAGCATTGTTTAGGATTTTCCGTTTTGGGTGTCAGTGCAAGCTGCTCACGGGGGCTGCTTTGTAGTGAAGCAGCTTTCGCTTGACTGGGAGTGTCGCAGCCTTGGCTTACATGAAGGCCCGTAGACCAATTCTGTGTATCGTGCTGCTGGGGTGCCTGGTAAACACCACGATGTTCTCTGCTTGTCAGGGGGCGCCCGCCCCCAGGGGTGGTCCTATCATCCGTGAAGAAGTCATGAGCTTCCCCTTCGACTGCGAGTCTCCATTCCTGTTTGCCGTCTACCACTTGGACCGCTACCCTCCCGGCAAACCGGACATGACTCCAAACGCATCCCTGAAGGGACACCGGATGGGTGCGGACTTCGGGCACCCCTCCGGTTGGAACATGCCGCGAGACTACAAGAAAGCTTCTTGCAAGTGACTCACGCATGGCTGTGTTCGATTCTGCGTCATCACGCGCTTTTTTTGATTTGTTCGTGCCTCGCGCGTTTCTCAGGTACCACGGGGAGGAGATCCCCGGCTTCCCGAAGCACCCGCACCGCGGCTTCGAGACCATCACGGTGACCAGACGTGGTTGGGTGGACCACACCGACTCTTTGGGCAATGCTGGGCGCTTTGGCGGGGGGGACGTCCAGTGGATGACTGCTGGCGCTGGCATCAGCCATGCCGAGATGTTCCCCTTGCTCAACCAGGATTCAGAGAATGTGCTGGAGCTCTTTCAGATCTGGATCAATCTGCCCAAGCGCAGCAAGATGGTGGAACCTAGCTTCAAGATGCTCTGGGCGGAGGATCTAGCAACAGTCCACCAGGCCGACGGAACAGAAATCGCCTTGATCGCAGGCTCCCTGCCAGGGTTCGGCTCGCCGCCTGCCCCGCCACCGAATTCCTATGCATCGGATCCTGCATCAGATGTTATGGTCCTAACTCTCAAGATCCCAGCAAAAGGATCTTGGACGCTCCCGGCCTATGCGGGAGCCGGAGTGTCGGGACTGAACAGGAATGCGTACATTCACACCGGAACGAAAAGCAAAATCGGTGGGCAGGTCATCCATGGCCAAAAGCGTCTTAAGCTGCGCCCAGATGTGGACACCGAGATCGCTGCCGAGGACTGGCCAATTGAAGTCCTCGTTCTGCAAGGCCGCGACATCGGGGAGCCTGTTGTTCAGCATGGGCCCTTCGTCGGCAACAGCCGCGAGGACGTGCTGGTATATCTTTGGGCTTCGCCAGGAGGGTTTGAGGATGTTTGAGGTGTCTCAAGTTTCAATGAGTAGGTGCATGGCATGGCAAAGAATCTTCGCAGGACATCTCCAAGGCTTTCCGAGATTACCAATCGACGGAATTTGGAGGCTGGCCATGGAAGTCCAATGCGTTGGCCCACGGCCCGGAGCGACCGCGCTTTGCCAAGTATGCTAGCGGCGAGGAGGAAGAGAGGCCCATGCCTGCTGTGTGCGGGTGAGAAAGTATGGCTCTTGTACATAAACCCTGCCGTGTCAATTTTCGAAGTTGTGGTGCCCACTTTTCATCGTCTTCACCCCGAAGGGGTTCCGGGAGACGGCAGTCGGATGATGCTTCCTCTTGCTGTCAGAGCTCAAGGTGCTTCTAAGGCAAAGCAGTGAAGGGAAGAAAAGAGCAAAAGCAGCTGTAAGCGTGTTTTTCAGCTGGGTTTGTTCTGTCTGTTCTGTCTCTAAGGCCAGGCCGCCGGGGAAGCCGAGGCCAGGCCAGCTCTCTCTGTTTCTCCCAGCTAAAAAAGAGGGGCCGAAGCGCATGGCGAAGCTAAGGCGAAGTTGGCAGAAATGGCAGCGGAGCTGCAGAGGACTTCGGCGGCCCTGTGTAGACTTGAGCTGGCAGCAGTGAGCTGCAGGCAGCAGGAGAGGCTCGTGGTTCGAGAGCCGGTGAAGGAGGCATTTGCCCTCTCAAGCCCCAAGCTGGAGGACACTCTCTCTGCCTCGGTTTCAAGCATTTTCGAGCTCAAGGGCGGGTCTCCCTCCCCATCCCTCCCCAGCTCTGCTCGTCTTGCAAGGAGCCAGGGCCAGGAACTTCGGATGGCGTCTGGCAGCGGCTGCTCCAAGAATCTTTGCGTGCAGAACAGGCTGAGCTTCGGCTCCTGGAAGCCTCCACTGACGGAGTCGAAGCTCGAAAACGGGGCCCGGCTCTGAGTCAAGGTCAGCTTCTTTTCGGCAAGTGAGACTGCTCACCTGAGCCTGAGGCCTCCAAGATTCTCTGAAGGTGGCGCTCTCCAAGCTGGAGGATCTGAAGCAACAGCTCGAGGGCGAGCGCATCGCCAAAGCGGAAGCGCAGAAGATGTGGGCAGATGCACAGCGCGAGGAGCAGTCGCGCGCCCTGCGGAAACTGCGGAGCCACGTTCAGGCCTTGCGGTCCTGGAACTCCCAGGTGCGTCTGAGGCTGCTGAAGCTGGCCAAACGGTCCACATCCAGCGACAAACCCAGCGACAGAGCCAGAGCTGAGTTGAAGGGGCACCTCCGCTGGATCTCCGGGGCCGCCGGTGCCGTCGCCTCTTTCACGAAGCGGCCGCCCGAGAAGGCCTTCGATCTGAACTGCTGGCACCAGGCCTTGCGCGGGCTGAGACAGGCCCTGCAGCAGGCCGCGGCCTCGCAAGCCATGGAGGACAACGTGGAGAAGGCTTTGGAGGTTTCCCTTTGGGAGGCTGAGAAGACCTGGGAGGAGGTGCTGTCACTCGTCCAGAGAGGTCGAACCGCTGCCGCGGCAGCAGAGGGCGTGTTGGACGCAGCGAGCGTCGAGGAAATTGTGAGAGCCTCGGTGGAGGCGGAGAAGAGGGCGGCGGTGCGCGCTGCCCAAGAGACTCTTCGAGAGGGACTCGGGGAGCCCGTAGAGGAGCTCGAGAAGGAGCTGCTTCTGGAGGAGGCCCTGGAGGAGGCTCGAGAGGAGGAAGATCGGCACCGCGAGCTGGAGCTGGCTCTGCTGGTGGCCCGACGTGAAGATGCGGAGCTGGAGGCGCTCTGTGCCAAGCAAGCTGCAGAGAAATCGGCCGAGGCCGAAGCTTCTCTTCGAACCCTTGGGACGATTCCCTTTCCGAGCTCTTCTCATGCCAGGCGGTCATGACCTCGCGCAGCCACAGGCTCAGAATGGCTCAGACAGTATGGATGCCATCCGTGTGGGGCTGCAGTATGTGCCTGTTGGTGTGCAACGGAGCTTGCAACTGGTTTGTCCGTGAGGAATCGTGACCTGAGGTCAGGACTTCCGGGAGCTCTGCCGCAAGATCGGCCAAGAGTGTTACGGCTGCAATGAGACGCTGCTCTGAACTATTGGTTTGTGTCATGTCACATTGGAAAATCCGAGGATGAGCCGGTCATTGCTCCTGCAGTTGCAGAACCTCTGTGAGAGCGCTCGCCTTCAGAGGATGATTCTCTGAGACTGCGTGGTTTGCAGCTGAACGTTCTGAGGTGCTGCCGAACATCCCGACATCTTTCAGAAGCAGATGGAGGAGCCGCCTGTAGCATCACAGGGGCCTAGACTCCTGGAAGGCTTTGCATTCCACAGGAGATCCGGGAGCTCAAGCAGGCCCACTCAGCAATCTCTGCCGCGCAGGCAGCTGGGCTATTCTACTCGTATCGCAAGGGCTGAAGTAGCGGGGTGAGGGGGGAAGAAAGCCGCTGAAGGGAAACAAGGAGCACCGCGGCTCGAACTTGAAGCAAGATGCTTCAGACTCTCATGCTCGCGGCCGCCAACCTATGAAGGCGCAAGCTCTGGGTAGTGCCGATCTCTTGGAGGCAGAGCTGCAGGCTGGGCCATGCGTGGGCCACGCTGAGCTTTGGGTTCGTTGTACCTACTTGCGCCAGGCTGCTTGGGTGGGAACTGTGGCAGCCATCGAGGACCCTCCATCTCAGAACTGCCCGAGTTTGCTTTGATGCTGCAAAGCCCGGCCTTCAAAGGAAGTTCAGGCCTCCACCAAGGAGCTGGCGATGGAATCTCCACTGCAAACCATGGTGCCAGGGGAGAAGAAGGGACACACACACACACACTCTCTCTCTCTCTCTCTCTCTCTCTCTCTCTCTCGCTCTCGACGTGCCTTCAAAGGATCGAGACCGCTGTCGCCTTGCTCTCGATGCTCTGCGGGCACGAACGGACGCTGTTGAGGAACTTGCAGTCTGTTCCAGTCAGTGATTCTAGTGTGCATAGTACCAGTAGGGCTGCAGGTACCTTTAGCCTTTAGCGACCTCGGCATTGGTTAATTGTTTGCAGCCTTCTTCAGCGGCTCATGCGGGTCTTCATCGGTGTGCAAATTTCCGCATCTACTTCACTTTCTTGCTTGTCGCTTTGTCGTCGATTGCTTCATTCATGCTGCTGGTCTGCAGCTGGTAGTGTCAGATAGGGAGACTTGATGAGACTCCTGAGAACTCCGAGCTTGCGAGTCTTTAGTCCTTCGCTATTCGCCTTTGTTGCCATCTTCGTTTCACGAATGGCCCCCTTGCAGTTTCGTGTGGCCTGGGGCTTCTTAGGAGTTTGTGCTACAGCTTCCCTGCGCACTCTTTCGGCTCCAGTGATCGGCGATTTGAAGTTGTCGCCACCATGTGCGAAGAGCTTGTGCTCGAGGTGCCAAACGAGTTTCCGGAACCCAAGCCCGTCTGTCTTGGTTTGCGAGCTGAGAATGCTCTCAGAGAGAGAGAAAAACCGGCATGGAAACGGGAGGAGTCGGAGTCTTCTGAGCCCATGGACCTGCACGAAGAGTTGTTCCGCTTCCTGGAACAGATGCGGGCCACAAGACCCGAAATCCTTCGTGGAGTGCGAGCCTCTAGAGCCCTGCGAAGCGGGCCACGCAGATGGATTCGAGGAGATCTTAAGAAACTGTATGCTCTGAGCGAGGCAACAGATCAGTTTGAAGAGTTTTGGTCTCACAGCTGGTCCACCGGTCCACTGACAAAGTTTACCAATGTCCTTCTCCTCAACCATGGCCTGGCAGCATTCCTTGTGGGTACACTCAGCGCTGCTTCCGCTGGCTCCCTCTGCGTGTTGCGCATTTTGCCTCCATGGAATCTATGGGGCACAGTGACCGGTGTCCTGAGTTACTACCTGACCCTGTTGCTGTGGAGTCGGAGGAAGCAGGTCTTCCTGGATATTGCGTGTATTTGCCAGACTGATTCGCAGCTAAAGGCCGAAGGTCTACTGAGCATCGGTGCCTTCTTGAAAAACTCCAGGTCGCTTCTGGTCTTGTGGGATGTGACTTGGACTTCGAGACTATGGTGCATCTTTGCAACTTGGCAACAATGCGAAACAGTTTTGTAGCACTGTGGCTCAGAGATACAGAAAGTTGAGATATCGCGAGTGAAGAGCAGCAGAGGAAATGGCGGCATTCCTTCACAGTCGACAGCCAGGTGCAAGGAAGAACCTGGTGGTTTGCCCGGTGTTTGTTGCACCGGCACTCCTCGTTGGTCATTTGGGTCTCAGCGTGCTTCTGGTCGCATACCTCCTTTCACAGGTGCCGATCTTTCCATGGGGTGGCCTCGTCATGTGTCTTCTGGCCGTTCCATGTTTGATGCTCTTCGCAATCGCGGTGGTTGCCCACTGTCGCAGTATCGAGCAAATTCAGGATCAAGTTCGCAGTTTCACCATTGAAAAGTCTTCGTGCCACTGCTGTTCCTGTGAGCATGTTGATCCAGGCACCGGTGAGACAATGGTCTGCGACCGCAGATTGATCGTTAGGTGTATCTCGCTGTGGTTCGGGTCAGCAGACGCTTTCGAGGAGATTGTCCGAACTCGACTCCTGAAAGTGCTGGTCTACCAGCTGAAAACGCAAGTCTTCTCATACTGGCGTATCGTGCAGGCTGCAAGCCCGGCTCTCTGGATCATGATCGACGTCTGGTGCATGGACAGCATGAAGGGAGCATCCACAGAAGACCTCGTGGAAGTGGCCCTTGCAGCTGTGACCTTGTGCTTCATGTTCCTCCCAAGTGTCTGCTTAGTTTTGCTCAACCTCGCCTACAAAGCACGCCACCTGCGAGCTCCTCAGGCGCTGATCGCAGCAGGGCTTGTCGCCATTGGTGCCGGCACATTCGGGTTCTTTCTTGCGGTCGAAAGGATACTTGTGCTTATTACCAGTGACCAAGTGAATGCTGGCGTCATATTGCTTGTGGCCATGGGAGCCGTGACTCTTTGGTTGTGGCGGTGCGTGCCTATTGACGGCGCGACTCCTTCCGCCGACGACTTCTGACTCGACATTGGTCAACACTGCTAGTCTGCTAGTTTTAAGTCCTGGAGCCTTGCCATCCAGAAGATGGTGCCCAGGCTTTTTTGTCTTGGATGAAAAGTTTGGGAGTGACGCTGGGAAAAGGACACGACACAAGGACTTCGGCACGGACGTAGCGACTGCATTGCGGACAGGAGGCGGCTGCCTCTCTTTGGGCGCTGCAGGGCGAGGCTGGGCTCATTTCAAGTCGGATGCCGGTTTGAACTTTCAACTGGTTTGTACTGTTTCACCTTGTATGCATGATCCGAGACGCATCTGTGAGGCCTCACTGAGTGTACCAGGCCAGGCTCTGCTGTGAGCTGAGCTGACTAGCATACTGCATAGAACTGCATAGCACTGCATAGTGCTGCATAGTCCTGCATAGTGCCGCATGGCAGAGTGTCTGCTTTTGTGGCCATGTGGTGCAATGCTGCGGACCGCAAAGGCAGAGAACTCGTCTTTCTGACACCGAACAGGTGGCCGATGGCACGACAGGTTTCGCAGCATCAGCGAGTGGTACTCCGCCGCAAGTGACGCACTCCACTCCTGTATGCTCTGACACGCTGCCGGCACCGCTGTTGGCGAGCTTCCTGAGTTCCCGATTGCGACTGTGCCAGCTTTGGCTGGAAGTCTCTTGCATGTACGTTACTCTGTGAATAGGCCGATGCGGTCGGATCCCGCATGATACTGGAATCGCAATGCCACCAGCCAGATGCACCGACATGGAATCTGACCGCAGCATGTTTCATATGCGGAGCTAAATGCTCCACGCACTGCTTCTCCGCTTGCTGCATGCTCGCAGTCAGATTGTTGGCATCGGCCATTGTACACTTGGTGTACATGCAGCAGCTTGGAGGTGCAGGACGCATGCAAACGACTGCAGCAATTGCCCAGGCCTGTAAAGCAGGCAGGTGATGCTATCCTGATAATGCACTATCTAGCTAATGCCCAGTCAAAACATCCTGCATTCAGTGCGAGCAGCTGTTCCGCCGGCGAGTTCAGACATGACATACCTGACGTGGCGATGCGCGTGTTGTCCAGGAACGGCTCAAAGGGATACCGTAAGACATGCCACATTCGCCGAGCCAGTTCGCTATTCGCCGACCCACCTTCAGCATCCCACGTTATGGGTCTGGGCTTGATCACCCGTCGTGACGAACTTCGCTGATAGCAACCTCATGATCTGTGAGTTTTGATGTAAATGCAGACTGGGGTGCCAGCAGCCGCTATCCCGACTTAGCTTCCAGGCGGGGCTGTAAGGCAAAGAATGCCTCGCCGAGATTTCGTCCCCACCACTCCAGGGACATGGCCAGCATGGAGGTCTTCATTGGTCGAATTCCGCCCGGCATAGGTACCGGACAGCAGACACACGCACTTCAAATCTTTGGGCAAGCAAACGCAACCCTTTGGCTGCTTTCTTGGAAGGTGTTGCAGAGATCTCCGATCTCCTGGCTTCAGCCTGAGCTGGGCATTCTTTTGCGTGTTTGCCGAAAGGCTGTGCAACAGAGGTCCCATACGGAGCCACAAACGTTCGCATCCTGGATGGCAAGGGCTGCGCGCCTTCCTTGCTGTCTTTGTCCTTGAGACCCCATGTGCTTTTGGACTGTTGGGAGCTCCGGCTGCCAGGTTCGCGGATTTCGCCAATGCGGATTACGGTCAGCGCGCCATTGCAGAGCTTAACGGCTACCAGATGCCTGGAGGTCAGAGTTTGAGTTTGGATTCAGGCATCTTGCGCTACTATGCTGGAAGCCTGTGAGGTCAGCAAGGGGGTCTCAATGTCAAGTCACGGCCTCGGAGCATTTGATCGCCTGCACACAGCATGCTTTCTTTGTGGCAGGATGGCGACCAGCAAGGTGCGCCCTGGTGAAATGCCTTCCGATTGGCGGCCCATGCCGGGAGCTGCGCAGGGGGCGGCCGCGCAGGCACCCATGGGTGCTTCTCAGGTCCAGCCGCAAGTTTTCGTCGGGCGACTTCCTGCGAATTGCGAGCAGCGTGACCTCGAAGAACTCTTTGCGCCGTATGGAGCGCACACCATTAAGTTGCTGGAGGGTAAGAACTGTGCCTTCGCCACCTTTGACACATGGGCAGCTGCCGAGAAGGCTATCGCGGAGCTTGATAAAACGCCGATGAAGGCTGACGGGAACCCCGAAGGTATAAATGTCAAGTTAGCCGATGTCAAGGGAGCGCCGAAAGGTGCCCAGCAAGAGCCCAAGGTTTTCATCGGAGGCCTTGCGCCAACCATCACGTCTGACGACGTCTGCAGAGTGTGCCAACAGTTCGGAACCATAACCCACAGCAAGATCTTCACCAAAAACGACAAATCCATGCCCTGTGCGTTCGTCACCTTTTCGTCGTTTACGGAGGCAGAGGTTTGCATCAACGCTCTGAGTGGCAAGGAAGAGTTAGCGGCTGAAGGCAAGACACTGGTTGCAAAGATGGCTGACCTCGCGAAATCTCGGTCACAGGTGCCGCCGCTAATGCCGCAGATGCAGGCTTTTGCACCTGCCCCAATGCCTATGCGAGCTGTGCCGCCTCCAACTATTCGCGGAACGGCCGGGGCGCAACCGTATTCCCAAGCATATCAGTCACAGGGCAACTTTCAGCAGCAAGGATTTCAGCAGCAAGGCTTCCAGCAGCAAGGATTTCAGCAGCAGGGCTTTCAGCAGCAAGGCTTTCAGCCCCCTCACCAACAGTTCCAGGCGTATCCGGCGGCCCCACCAGGCTTGGTGAAGGCCAAAGGTGGTGATGACCCAGTGCCAACATCGATGGGGGGCGGCCAAGGTGAAAAGGTCTTCGTAGGCGGCCTACCTGAGGCTGTGAACATGGAATTCGTTTGGGGGATGATGGCACCCTTTGGCCAGGTCGCCGATGTCAAAATCCTAAGAAAGCAAGGAGCTTCGCCATGCGCCTTCGTGCGCTTTGCCCAACCCGAGGATGCAGACCAGGCTGTGGAGATGCTCGGGAGCTGTCGCTTCACCGTGAAGTTTGCGGACAACAAGCCCGGCATGCAAGGCCAGAAGCGGGGTTTCGACGAGGCTTTCCGGCCTTACTGAGCCCATCCGACGTGCGGCACGAGTGGACTGGGACAAAAAATAAAGCTCGCCGATCCCTAAGCCTTGTGCATCTGCAGATCTTGCTCTGAAGATCTCTGACAGCATGTGATGCAGTCGCGTTTCCAGAGCCTTCTAGGCTTCTCAGTTCCACAACGAAGTATCTGAGCATAGCAGAGACATGTCAAAGCCCTACAGCACCTTCCAAGGCGGGATGGGAACGGGATACAATTTGAGAAAAAGAGCCTCACGTCACGAGTGCAATGCCAAGCTCTCAGGCGCCTACGCGAGGCAGAGCCAGTCCGCTCCGAGCTTAAAGCCGACTTGCGGCTTGCCGGAGGGGCCCCGGGGCCCCCCCCCCCCCCCCCCCAGCTGGGTCCGAGTCCGAAGCGAAGCGACCGGAGGCCGGCATCTCTCCTCGGATGGACCCTGAGAGCATGAGCAGCTTCGGCTTCGGGAAGCGCAAGCGCTTGAATGTGGACGGGGCCCCAGTGAGGACGTGGCCGGCTTGTCGCATCGCATTCCGCCAGCAAGGTCTCGATTCTGATCAACGTTCTCACACCGTGGCTGGTTTTCTGCGGTGTCTTCGCCAGCTTCTGAGTCCGTCTTTCCTAGATCTTCCCACCATGCATTATGCCTCATTATGCCCAGGCCTCGATGTCCTTCTCGACCCACCACGAAAGCCCCGTCCTGGCCTGGTTGGCGGTGCTTGCAGGCCTCGCTTTTGCCGGAGGTGCAGGCGCCGGCGATACACTGCATGCGCGGGAGTTGCTTTGCTACGTGGCTGTCGACTGCCGAAGGTGTCATGGCGCGCAGGACCAAGATGCAGGACCAGGATCCTACTTGGTGCTCTCGAAAAAACATGCTTACAGATGCTCCAGTCATACCCATGGCCGCCAGGTACACCTTTGCAGCCCTGGCTCTGGGCCTTGCGACCGTCTCTGCGGCTGCCAGGGCCCCGATGTAGGTGTACCAATTTGTTGCCCGCTTTCGCCTTCAGTCCCAATGGCTTGCTTTGCTGCCAGCTTACAATGCATTTCTTTTCAATCAATGCCGGGTCGTCGAAGGCCTCGATAGTCGAGTCTTGGGGCTGTTGGCTCATCCCCAAGATGGGTGTGGTAGGGTTCACATCGAGGTCCTGGGAGACATGAACTACTGGTACAACATGCAGCCGTACTATGACATCGAGAACATCAACACGTACCCCTCTGCGTCTCCCTCAGATCGACAGCGCACCGAAGATTGAAAGCAGCGAGCGGCGTGGACCTTTCCGATGTGAGGTGAACCCTGCGCGGGAGAAAGGGCAACAGCTTATGGATGCCGGTCGCGTTTATTTCGAGGACGGCACTGGGCAAGCTGCTCAGATTCTGGGCGCTGGGGGAGACCTCCAAAAGTTTGGGCAGCAAGTGCACTGACTACATCATCACTATCACCAGTGTCATCGTCGTCATCACCATCTTCATCATCATCACCATCATAATCCCCATCCACATCATCATCATCATCACCATCACCATCACCATCATCACCATCACCATCACCATCCTCCTCCTCCTCCTCCTCATCCTCCTCATCGTAAGCCGTAAGCATCCATCACCATCCTGGTCCTCATCGCGATAGCAATAACCGCCATCATCTTCTGAATGTCGCTACAGGCGGAGTGGCAATGATACAGGAGAGTTCAATAGTGAAGACACCGATCGGCAGTGGATGTCCGTCCAAGCCTGCGAGGTTGGACACTTCCAAGGCCATGGCATTCCGGAACCTCGACAGGCAGGTTGGCCAAACGAAAGGGTGTCTAGTGCATGCTGCAAGCTTCAGTGTTGATCTGGATGTCGCAGCCAGCCAACCATCGCAAATCCGATCGGATGAATCAGGGCTCAAGACCTGCCAGGTACTGCGTTGCACCCATCGTCTTTGGACAGGACTGCCGTCAGAATATTGCGGAGCTGCGGTCGCAAGTCTACGAGTTTAGGGTGATTTATTCGAAGGGTTTCTTGCATGCATTGTTAATGGAGGGGGGAGGGAGATGATGAGATCAGGCGCATTTGCCAGGTCTGTGAGCCAAGAACCCGTGAGCGCTCGAAAGGAGCCTCTCGCCTCTTACGACTTCTGGGCTGCCAAGTGCTGAGCCGTGTAACTCAAAGCCCAAGTCCATCGAGGGTGTCAGTGCCAGGTTTGGAGGGAGAGGAGGAGGAGCAGGCGGAGGAGGAGGAGGAGGATCTATCGTTTGTGCAGGAAGGTTTGCAGGGGTCCCGGGTTTTTTCTTTTAAAAGGTGTGGGGTTTGTAGAAGGTTTGGCTAGGCCCTTGGTTCGCTGGTCCGCTGGTCCTCTGGTCCCTGGTCCTCTGGTCCTTTGGTCCGGGGGGGCTGCGCCCCACCCCCCCTCGCTGGTGCAAGCTTGCTTGA